TCATCACAGGAACCAAGCTGGAGAACCCACGCTGCCCCTTATCCCACATCTGGGCCACTGTTTATTGACAAGGTGTTTCTGAGAATGCTAACGCTGTCTGTTGTATGTTATTAACAGATGGATTTACTGTGAGCGGCCCCACTCACCCAGTTGCAGCCACTGCAGGTTCCAATGTGGTGCTGGACTGCAAATGTTCCATATCCCTGTCGCCAGAGAGTGTGGAGATCAGGTGGTTCAGTACCAGGTTCCACTCCCCCGTGTACTTCTACAAAGGAGGACGACGTCAGGTGGAAGAAGAGGATGAGACCTACAGTCACAGAACACACCTGTCCATAGAGGAGTTGAAGGAGGGGAATGTGTCTCTCAGACTGGCAGATGTGCGTGGCACAGATAATGGAACCTACACGTGTTTAGTTGACTACTCCGGATCATACGAATACACAGAGACACAATTGCTGGTTAAAGGTCTGTCGCGTTCACCTCGTGTTCGCACGTGCAACAGCTGTGTTTCAGCCGAGCTGCGTTGGTAATGTTCGCGGTGTTTTTAAATCTCCTCTGCGCTGCTCGAAAATGGAAGGGAGTTTAGCCGAGTGTCCTGTCCCACAATCCACCCTATAATATTTATTTACTGAATGTTTGTGGGACATCAATACGTACCATTGGGGTGTCGTGTTAGCTTTCAAACACAGTTACCCAGTACACGTTACATTCTGTGAAGCATTTTGCGGCGTCCTCCTGATGTGAAAGGCACAAGAACTAATGCCAGGATCAACATTGTTATCAACATCCAAACGAGTTGGGTGCTCATAATGCATATCTTTCACACACACATATCTACAGTGGATTCTGCACCTCAGTGGTTGGAGCCTTTGCCTCGCAAGTGAGAGGACCTGGGTCTATTCCTGGGCAGGGCGATATAGTGGGAAAATGTCCTTACTCCACACACACGCCACTGTTTGCCAGCAGTAAGTAGGAATCGGGTTATTATTCAATTGGTAGATAGCTTCTGATGGAAATTCCATTGAAATAACTGGAACTAATTTGGTCACTGAATCCGCGACTTTTGCGGGACGCTGCTTTGCGCAATTGGCTGCGAGGTTCCGTCTAGAAAATACACAATTAATTCACATTACATATATTCTGTCAAGAAGCTATTGAGTCGTCTCTAAAATCTGATAAGGCGCTGTTTCAGATAGAAGATTTTTTGTGAGTGAGCTATTCTGTGCAGCGAATTATAAAAAAGACAAAAATCTACATTATATTTTTTTCAGGCTATTTGTCCAACCCAGTTACTGGACAAGGTTCTGATTAAAGGCTTTGTATGCTGTATATTTAATTCGTATTCCTCTGTCTCCTCCAAGCTCTTGGCAGTCAGCCATGGATTCGCATTGAGGAGCACAATGGTGGTGTGAGGCTGCTGTGTGAATCCAGTGGTTGGTTCCCAGCACCAGATGTTCTGTGGACTGATGTTCACGGACAAAACTTAACAACAGTCAGTATCACGACGGTTTCACAGGATGCTCAAGGTATCTTTAACTTTCAAAGTCAAATGGACATCCAGCCGTCGACCAACACGTTCAGGTGTGTGATTCACACTGCGGATCATCAACAAGAAGCTAAATTGCAAATCTCAGGTCAGTAAACACAGGAGCCAAATACATCACTGGTAGCCTGAGAGATATGTGTATGTGTGGGAAAGATCAGCGATACCCTGAAAGGCATGTGTGTCTGTGTGAGAGAGAGAGAGATAGAGAGATAGAGAGATCAGTGATAGCCTAAGAAATGTGTGTGTGACAGAGAGAGATCATTGATAGCCGTAGAGATGTGTGTATGTATGTGTGTGTGAGAGAGAGATATATAACTAAGAGCCTGAGAGATGCGTGTAAGTGTGTGTGCGTTTGTGAGTCAGAGAGGAAGAGTGAGAGAGGGAGAGAGATCAGTGATATCCTGATAGATGTCCGTTTGGTGAGAGATAGGTAACATTGAGAGCCTGAGAGATATGTGCTTGTGAGAGTGAGATCACGGAGAACCTGCGAGAGCTGTGTGTGTGAGAGGGATCAGTGATAGACTGAGAGGTGTGTGTGTGTCTCTGTGTGTGAGAGAGAGGGAGATCACTGCGATCCCGAGAGATCCCTTGTGGAGTCCTGTAGCTCAGTGGTTAGAGCACCCGCTTTGCAAGTGAGAGACCTGAGTTCAATCCCAGGCAGAGGGCGAAACCTTGGCCAAGTTTCCGTACTCCACACAGAGCCTAATAATAATCCCTCCAAAACCAAAAACAATAATAAATTGGTCATTTTCAATCTACGACTATTTGTGGGACATTGCGGTGCGCAATTGGCTGCCGCGTTCGCCCACAAATATACAGTCAGTTCACTTTACAGTGTGTTCTGTGAAGCGCTTTCGGACGTCCTCCCGACGTGAAAAGCGCTATATCAAATGCAAGGATTATTATTATTATAGATATGTGTGTGTGCGCGAGAGAGACAGAGATCAGAGGGAGCCTGAGAGATGTGTGTGTGTGATTCATTAATAATATTCTGAGAGATGTGTGTTTGAGAAAGATACTAGTGATCGGTTGAGATATATGTGTGTGAGAGAGAGATAACAGTGATAGCCTAAGAGAAGTGGCTTATTTGTGTAACATAAAATAAACAGAAAACCAGTTCAGACGGAGAAAAAGCTTCATTCAGCCGTTTGATCACATTCTCTGAAAAAACCCCACCAGTGATAACAATATCGCCAACGATATTAAGAATAATAAATTGGTCACTCAATCCACGACTCTTTTGGGGACACTGTTGTGCAGAATCAGCTGCTGTGTTTTGGACACAATACAGTCATTGCGCTCTATAATATTTGCTATGAAGCGTATTCAGACGTCTGAACAATGTGATAAGACGCTGGCGGAAATGTAAGGATTATGAAATGAATTGGATATTGTGAATGATTGAGCTCTATGATTAACAAAGGTAGTTATGGCCTTAGTTTCAAACTGAAGTAGATTCAGGCGATGAACATTCATTTGCTTACACTGTGTGTCTGACCACGTAAGATTACAAGGCTATTTATTTCTCAATAACTTCAGTGAGTTTCTACGAAACAAATTGATGTGATAGTGAGATGAGCTGCTACCGTTGAGGGGAGATCGAAGGTGATCCTCTCACAGGCTCCTATTGTGTGTCATACGTACAGGGTAAACAGTGGCCTTTGCCGTTGGATATTTGGATAGATCTTGACAAGTCTATTTACATTTCCTGGCAGACCAATTCTTTCCCAAAGTGCCACTGGGTTTGGTGTTTTCCTCACTGCTCCTGGGAATTGCCACACTGGTGTTGAGTGTTCTTGTCGGTTACGGTGTGAAACAGCACCGAGTGATCATAGGTAAGTTGCCATAATTACCAGCACTAACCACACTTCACACAACACTATATGTTTTCATGTAGAAACGTAAGTTGTATCGACTTGGCGACAGAATACACGGTACACGTTTGTGGGAATGTGTGGACTCAGAGGTTGATCTGATTAGACAGTGATTCTTATTCTGTTCCTAATCTGTGGAGACAGGCGAGGGATTAGTTAATGGCAGTAACATGGGGTTGTTTGTGTTTATTGCCAGCTGTGAAATAAACCTTTCCCCTCAGATAATAATAATAACAATAATAATGCTAATAATAATCCTTTGACACAGCCACTGATCACTTCTTCGATGTTAAATAGTTTCACAGATATTTGCAAAGTGAATTGGCTGTAGGTTTTGTTGCCAGAACCTGGCAGCCAATTGTGCCCAGTGACGTCCCGATAAACTATCGTGGATTAGGTGACCAAATTATGAATACTTTTTGAAGGCATTATAACCACAGGAAATGCTATCTGCCCATCAACTAACAACCGGGTTCCTACTTACTGTTAGCAGACAGAGCCGTGTAGAGTAAGGAAACCTGTCCAACTTTTCGCCCTGTAATAATCCAACTCAGGTCTGTCACTCGCAAAGCGAGTGCTCAACCACTGGGCTACAGTAAAGAAACATTCATAAATTATACATCTGTCTTGATCGTTCTCTCCGTACCTCACTCTATATTATTGGAAAACATTTGTAAATTAGCAGTGAATGCTGAAACAGAAAACGGAGTCCTTTACAAAACCAAAGAATTGAGTGGAGTCCTGTAGCTCAGCGGTTAGAGAACTTGCCTTGCAAGCGTGACACCTGGGTTCAATTCTAGGCAGGGCGAAACCTTGGGAAAGTTTCCTTATTCCAAATGCCTAAAATCAATAAGAAATTGGTCATTTTCAATCCCCAATTGTTTGTGGGACACTACTGTGTGCAATTGGCTGCAGAGTTTCGCCCACAATTATACAATATACAGTCAATTCACTTTACAGCATGTAACTCTCCCTAATATAAATTTACTGTGAGACATCTAGAGACACTATATCAAATACAAGCATTATTATCCGTATTAATATTATTAATATTATTATTAAAGAATGACAATGTTAACATTTTGAATTGCATTGAACTGTTGAGTTCAAATGTGTAGTTTGTAATGTTCGTTAAAGTTATAAGTTTATATTCTAGTCATCACCATAAAGTATTTATCATTTTCTGTCCTAACAATATTATTTTTTTTATTCACCAGCTCTACAGATAAGACTGGGTAAGCAAAATTAAATCTCTTTGACATCTGTTACATCATCTCAGCTCCACATTGCCCGTCAACTGTGTTTTACACAATCTTAGACAAACTATTGGTCACAGTCCATTATTCTGGTGCTGTTGTTCCTACATTTCTCTACAATTTGTACAGAAACTCTCCCTAATGTAATATTGGCATCTCAGCCATAATCGTATCGGCTGGCATCCTGGAGGTGGACTAATCCTGGACACTTATCATTAGCCTGATGATCATAGACAGTTTGCAGTCAATCTGAGGGCAAAGGTTTCCTCACTCAGTGGACAGTGAGTCCTGGGGAAGCTTCTCCTCGTGATTAGAGACCAAACCATGTCTCCTTTCTTCTTGTTTCCAGTGATAGAAAGGCTTCTCCCCGATGCAGGTAAGAGTCTGACTCACAGGAACCACAATATTCACATCAATCTGTCGCAGCGCTTAAAGCAAACCCCTCTCTCTCTCTCTGCGCAGTCTCTCTGACTCTGGAGTCTGAAACAGCCCAATCCTGGCTCACGCACACCATCACACACACCCTTACACATATACAAACACGCACACACACACAACTCTCTCTCACATACACACAGAATCTCACACACACGCCCTCACAAACATATACTCAAACCCAGCTTCACACACACACACACACACACACACACACACAAACACAGATACTCAAACACATGTTCACGCTCGCACCCTCACACATACCCTCTCACAACCCCTCAAAAAGATGTGACCCTTCTGAGCTGGATATTCACTCACTCTATTTTCTGTTGTTTCGCTCTCTCAGCTCTGGCCTCTCTGACTCTGGATCCTGACACTGCCCATCCCAACCTCATCCTGTCTGAGAACCTGACCAGCGTGAGATACGGAGACAGAAGGCAGCAGCTCTCTGACTCCCCAAAGAGGTTTGATACCGTTGTCAGTGTCCTGGGGTCTGAGGGCTTCAAATCAGGGAGACATTACTGGGAAGTTCAGGTGGCCAATAAGACAAACTGGACAGTGGGTTTCGCCAGAGAATCTGCCAACAGGAAAGGAGAATTCACACTCTCACCAGAGAACGGATACTGGGCTGCGTGGTTGAGAAACGGTACTGAATATGAAGCTGGTGAATCACCTTCCATCCTTCTGTCCCTGACAGAGAGACCCGGGAAGCTGGGTCTTTACCTGAACTATGAGGGGGGACAGGTGATATTTTACAATGCTGATAACATGTCTCATCTCCACACTTTCACCCAGACTTTCACTGAGAAACTTTTTCCTTACTTCAGTCCATGTGATAATGATGGCGGCAAAAACTGTGATCCTCTGAGGATCTGCCAGGTGACAGATTAATGAGGAGGAAACCCTCAGCCATGACCTGTTTTGGCTGTGATGGCCACCAGGCTGGAACCTTTTATAATCCGTGTTATCATAAATAAAGCTTGTAGTTTATATTACCATATTTCCCTCTATCTCACACTCACTCCCTCTCTCTCTCCCTCTCTCTGACACTCTCTCTCTTCCTGTCAATCAGCCAGTGGAGGCCCTGCTTCAAACAGGAGACAAACAGTGGTGGGGCAGGAGTCGGGGCTGGTGTTGGGGGCTGGTGGGTGGGGGGCTGAACTGGACCAGGATTTCAGTCTGAAGACCGTATTTGGATTTTAAAGCGAGGGTGTCCCCCTCTTAAAGGGGAGAGGAGGTTTTTGGGCGTTCAAAACACCTTTTTATAATAATATCAATAACAATAATTATCCTTGTATTTCACCCAGCGCACATCTGAACCACTGTATATTGACAAGACATCGTTGAGAAGGTTAACGCTATGTATTATTTGTTATTAAGCAGAGGGATACAATGTGAGTGGCCCCATTCACCCAGTCAAAGCCATTGCTAGTTCCGATGTGGTGCTGGACTGTAAGTGTTCCTTATCGCTGCTGCCAGAGGACGTAGTGACTTTGTGTTTAAATAATAACCCGCACACTGGGTGCAACACAGGAAAGGGGTTTAAAAGCCCCCAGATCTCCGGGGTTTAAAGTACAATAGTTTGTTAAACCCCAATAATTGCATTAAAATAACTGATATAAATAGGGTTTGGCATGAACTTTGGGTTTTGATTTTAACCACAAATCCGTGGACAAACACGGAAAATGGGTTTAAAAGTTCCCAGATTCCCGCGTAAAGTGCAAAATATTCTTAATTCTGCATTAATCCCAAATATAAAAACCGCTTTTTGAGTTAACTCTCTCCCTCCCTCTCAAACTCACTACTACTTTCATTCTCCCCCTCTCTCTCTTTTCCCCTCTCCCACACTCACTCCCTCTCTCTCACTACCTCTCACATTCACTCCCTCTTTCTGTCTCCCTCTCTCTTGCCCGCTCACTCACACTCACTCCCTCTCTTATAGACCCTCATGCAGTGATCATAGCATAGCACCGGATATTACTCAAGAAATTAGAGGAGGATATATCAAAGATAATACATTAATAGTGAGTGATTGCAAATTCACATAGATTGGGAAATCCAAATCGGCAAAAGTCGGGTAGAGGACGAGTTTATAGAGTGTATCAAAGATAACTTCCTGGAGCAGTATGCGGAGGAACCAACTAGAGGATAGGCAATCCTAGAGCTGGTTTTGTGTAACGAAACAGGTCTAGTCAATAATATAGATACGAAGGTCCTCTAGGGCAGAGTGACCATAATATATAGTATTTAGTATTAAAGAGCGATGTGGTCAAAACCGAAGCAAGGGTCTTACATTTAAATAAAGCTAACTTTGTAGATATGAGGGAAGAATTAGCTCAAATAGACTGGGGAATTGATTAGTGGATATAACAATAGAAGTACAACGTCAAGCATTTAAAGATGTAGTGCAAATTTCTCAGCGGTCACATATTGCCTTGAGGAATATGATTACCCCAGGGAAAGCAGTTCATCCATCTAACTGGAGTAGTCAGAGAAAGTATAAAATAAAAAAAGAAACGGCGGATAAAACTGCCAACAATAGTAGCAAACCTGAGGAACGGGGCTGTTTTGGTGAACAACAAAGGAAAATCAAAAAGCTCATTAAGAGTGAGAAAATGGATTATGAGGGCAAGCTAGTGAGAAACAATAAGAAGATTGTAAGAGTTTTTATAAATATACAAAGAGGAATAGGCTAGCAAAACCAAATGTGGGTCCATTACAAACAGAGACAGGAGGAATTATAATGGGGGAGAAGAATATGGCAGATTCCCTAAATAAATATTTTGCTTCTGTTTTAGAAGGCACAAGCAGTTTACCAGAAATAGAGATGAAATAAGGGGCTAATGATAGGGAGCAACTTAGAGAAATTTACATTAGCAAATAATTGGTGCGAGGGAAATTGTTGGCATTAAAAAGTGACAAGACCTCTGGAGTTGATGGTTTGCATCCTAGGGTTTTAAAAGATGTGGGTTATGAGATAGTTGAGGTCTTGTGTCTGATCTTCCAAAATTGTTTGGATTCTGGAATGGTTCCCATTGATTGGAGGATCGCAAACATCACACCACTATTTAAGAAAAGTGGGAGAAAGAAGATGGGGAACTATAGACCAGTTAATCTAACATCGGTGGTAGGGAAAATTCTAGAATCCTTAATTAGGGATGTAGTAGTGGAATACTTAGAGAACAATACTATAATTTTAGGAGAGTCAACATGGCTTTACAAAAGTGAAGTCATGCTTAACAAATCTTCTAGAGTTTTTTGTGGATGTAACTAGCAGGTTAGATAGGAGCGAACCAGTAGATGTTGGATACATAGATTTTCAGAAGGCGCTCAACACAATGTCACATAAAAAGCTGCTTCACAATCTTAGGGCACATGGAATTAAAGGCAATGTATTAGCATGGATCGAAGAGTGGCTAACGGAAAGAAAGCAAAGAGTAGGGAAAAACGGGAGCTTCTCTGTTTGGAAAGATGCGACTAATGGATTGCCACAAGAATTAGTGCTTGGGCCTCAACTATTTACAATCTATATCAATGATCTGAACAAGGATATAGAGCTTAAAATATCTAATTTAGAATGATACGGAGCTTGGTAGGAGAGTAAGCTCCGATGATGACACAAAAAGATCGCAAAGGGATGTAGGTAGGATAAGCGAGTGGGCAAGAAGGTGGCAGATGGATATAATGTGGGGAGGCATGAAGTCTTTCACCGAGGTAGTAAAAACACAAAAGCAGATTATTTTCTAGAAGGACAGACTAGATAGTGCTAGTATTCAGAGGGATTTGGGTGTCCTTGTAACCAGTCACAAAATCTTAGTGTGTAGCTCCAGCAACCAACTAAAAAGGTGAATGGCATGTTGGCGTTTATTTCAAAAGGGTTAGACTGCAAGAGTACGGAAGTCCTGTTGCAGTTGTAGAGGCCTTGGTGAGACCGCACTTGGAATATTGTGTGCAGTTTTGGTCTTATTTAAGAAAGGACATATTGGCCTTCGAGGGAATGCAGCGTAGATTCACTAGGTTAGTTCCTGGGATGAGGGGTTGACCAACAAGGATAGGTTGACTAAATTAGGCCTATATTCTCTAGAATATAGAAGCATTAGGGGGCGATCTTACGAAAACATAGAAGATTCTTATGGGTCTTGACAGGGTAGATGCCTCAAGACTATTTCCCCTGATAGGAGAATTTACAACTAGGGGTCACAGTTTTAAGATTAAGTGACAGACCCCCTCGAACAGAGCTGAGAAAAAACTTCTTCAATCAGAGGGTAGTGAATTTATGGAATTCTCTACCTGATAAGGCTGTAGATGCTCAGTCCTTGAACATGCTCAAGACTGAGATTGATAGGTTTCTAAAGGATAGAGGGATTAAGGTTAAGGGGATAAGGCGGGCAGATGCCATTGGTGAGAAGATCAACCATGATCGAATTGAATGGCGAGGCAGTCTTGAGGGGCCGAATGGCCTACTCCTGCTCCTGTATGTTCCCATGTTCTTATTTGCAATTTTTCAATCTAAGGGCACAATTCTGGAATATAGTGATCTTTGGAATATTATGAAGAATTCATGTTCAATTTTGCATATTGGGGTGGGCACTATGAGTTCCTGGAGCTTTGTCTGTCTTGATTCTCATTATTTTTTCCATATTGCTTGATTTATATTCATTTTATTAAGCATTACACTTTGAGTTATTTTAACTTGCCCTTTATCGCTGGTATGTCATCCTCATACTCTAGTGTAAAAAAGTATGCAAGGTATTTATTTAACAAGGCAGCCTTTACTTATTTTCGAGTATATTCTCACCAATATCTGTCTATAATGAACTCACATTCGCCTTGACAATTCTGTTTCTTTAGTATATTTATAAAGGCTTTCACTGTCGGTTTTATTAACCCTTTGAAGGTCTGAAAACTACCCCAAGCAGAGACTTACTTCCTTTGCTATTCCTTAGGTCTATATACAGTGTCTTTGCTAATATTGCTACACATTCTCCTTTCCCATCTTTTCTAACGATTTTAGTCTGGAATACTTAGCTCCCATTCCTGACCAGCATGCAACCAGGTCTCTGTCACATCATACCTTTAAGTTGAATTTGTTCTTCTAACTCACGGCTTTTGCTTGTCAAGCTGCGCGCATTTGTGCACATACCTCTTGACTGTTTGTGGGTTACTATTGAAAAACTTGGGGAGACACTGAGTCTGTCTGAAATTTCATTTGAACGGAGTGGTGGTAAGGTGGAACTAGGCTGAGCGATTGCAGTGTAGAGTTCCAGAGATAGAGTAGAGTGAATGGAACCTTTTCCACTCATCAGGAATGGGACATTTAGTAAACCTGTGTGAGCGTGTACAGAGCAGTTGGAGGGTCAGATTTCAAGAAGGTTGAAAAGATAAAGTGGGCGAGCCATGGAGAGATGAAAAGAAGAGGAAAAGGGACTGAATTTGATCTGTATAGAAAGCATACAAGGGGTGCATTTGAAGGCCAGCTACGCCGTTCTAGCTGGTTAAACTCCAGCAATAATTCCCAACCCACAACCTCACACTCATTGAGTTCCAGACGATTTTACACCTGTCAATTTGTGCCTAATGCTTTCAGGGATGAGGTTAAAGTGAAGTCCTGTATTTCAGTGGTTAGAGTACTCGCTTTGCAAGCAAGAGACCCGAGTTCGATTCCGGGCAGGGCGAAACCTTGAGCAAGTTTCCTTACTCCGTACTCCTGATAATACTCTTTCAAGAAAAAAAAATCAATTGTGACTTCAATCCACGGTTGTTTGTAGGACACTGCTGTGCAATTGGCTGCCGCTTTTCGCCCACAAATACACAATCAATTCACTTTGCAATCTATTCTGTGAAGCGCATTGCGACATCTAGAATATGTGAAAAGCGCCATATAAAATGCATGGACTATTATTATTAATATTAAAGCAAACATCCTTCTAGGGAGACTGTGCACATTCAATTCTCAAGACAGAGCATTCGATGTGTCGATGTCATACCTAA